CGCAGTTCTCTTGCTGCGCACAATGAGGCGCCGGTAGTTAAGTCTACCATACGCTTGTGGCGGGTCTCGAGGGAGTGGATCTGTGTTAGGAGATCCATTTATGTCCTTCAACCTCTGTTTCTTAACGCTAGAGCCCTGGGCAATGAGCACCCCCCTGATTGTCGCTTTGTGTGCTTCCCAGATGACGCCCGGTGAGATATCTGCCGAGGTATTTTCTGCGAAGAAAAGAGAGAGGTCCCTCTCCAGTGAGGCAGCAAAGCCATGGTCCTGGAGCAGATTGTCATTCAGCTTCCACTGCCAGGGCCCTGGTGGGGGAGCATCTAGGGCCAAGGTAAGAAGCACAGGGGCGTGATCCGAGAGGGTGATGTTGCCTATTTCAGTGTGGCGGACTTTCGCTAATTGGCTGTGATGTGTGAAGAGGTAATCGATGCGTGTGTAACTTTTGTGTAGGTGGGAGAAGGTGTAATCCCTGGTTGAGGGGTGTTGTATGCGCCAGGCGTCTATGGGAGTGGAGGCACTTTTTAAGTCGTTTAAGGACGGCATATGAGAGATGGGAGGATGATCTGGAGGAGTCCAGGTGTGGATCAAGGATGAGGTTAAAGTCACCCCCTAAAATGAGGAGTCCTTCCCGAAATTCTGACAAACGGGCCAGAACCCGCTCCACAAATGTAATTTGGTTTTGGTTAGGCACTTATACGTTGGCGAGTGTCATTACTTGTGAGCCTATGGTTCCCTTTAAGAATATGACCTGGCCTTCTTCCCCGCTGTACTGTTCCATCAACGGCCACGGGGTTGCTCGGGATATGAGGACACTAACGCCCCTAGATCTCTTATCTGGTGAGGCACTGTGGTAAACTGTCGGGTATCTATGGGTTTCCATGCGGGGTACTTGATTTTCCCGGAAGTGGGTCTCCTGGAGGAATGCTACTTCCACTCTTTGCTGCCAACCGCAGCATCCGTTAATAACACGTAAAAGCAATAACTACCTCATTAAAACATAGAAGGCAAAACAGTGTTGAGAACAATGTCAAGTCAGCGTTAAGCTGTCATCTCCAATCGTTCGCTGGGGGTAGCAAGGTTACTCCGCTTACACCTGTGTGGGTGGCTACATCAGGGGGGACGGTATGTACGAGTCTTGTCCCCTCAGATTAGTGGTAGCTGAGACTTCCAGGGTGCCTGTGTGAGTGGATAGCTGGGGGACGGATAGGGTCTGTGGGCAGTCAGGTGTGCGTGGTATCTCCCCTGTCCCACTGCTATGTGGTTAAGTCGCCCCGGCTCACCCCCGAGATCTGTGCTGTAAGTGTGTGCATCGCTACAGGTAGATTCCGTCAGGTGTTCCCAGCGCCCCAAGGTGCCTGTCAGGGGTCGTCTCTGGGTATAGAGTGCAAACGAGTAGGCCCGGTGGGGTGTGATGTGGCTCAGGTCGTCAAAGCGACAAGCCCGATGCGCTAACGTAGCGCTGGGGGGAGGCCAGTGGGCGAAGATAGAGGGGCCGTTCCCTAAAAACTGGGACCATGCATGGGTTCCCCCGGTCACTCTCAGTAAGGGGGGGGGGTGGTGGGACACAGTGATCTGGGTATTCTGGTAGCGAAGTCAGCCCCACCCGGAGTACAGCAAGCATTTAGACCTGTTAACTGCTAACATGGGTAAGTATACATCACCCAGAGAAGTCTCATCTAAGGTGGCCCGGAGAGGAGTGGGCAGACCCATTGTCTGGTGTAGGAGAGCCGACTAGGCCCCGTTGGGAAGGAGAGTCCACAGTCCCCATCAGAAGAGATCATTCCCTCGGGTCGTGCGGATAAGGGTGTCAGCGGAGGTCATCATAGTTCTCGTGAGGTGGGGGTCTTGAACTGCGTTGGGTTGAGCCAGTGAGGGAACGCGGGTGTCCCGAGTGCGGGGCCGTGAGGAGTTTCTTGAGTTGACTCGACCTCTGTTGCGTTGGGTCATTGGACGGGATACGTCTGGGAGGTCCGGTTGGAGCCAGTCCTGGACGTCCACCGGGTCGCTTTCCAAGAATAGGAATAGGTCCGGTAGTTGATCAGGGTGCCGTAAGATGAACGGCTCCCCGCTTCTGCGGATGTTCAAGCAGAAGGGGTAACCCCAGGAGTAGAGAGCACCAGCTCGGCGGATCTCAGTGAGAAGCGGTTGCAACAGCCTGCGCATTTGCAGGGTGCGTCTAGATAGATCCGGTAAAAGCGTGACCTCTGTCCTTTCAAACGCGATCGGGCCCTTACGCCAGGCTTGGCGGATGATGGCGTCCTTCACCGTGAAGTAGTGTATACGACATAGTACGTCACGAGGCCGGGGGTCCCTGCGTCAGTGCGGGGGGCTCCCACCCGGTGCACACGGTCAATTTCCAGGGGTGTATCTGGGGACTTGTCCAGTATGGCGTTGAGGATTCCCGAGACCACCGGTCGCAGATCAGCGGATGTCGTCATTTCTGGGATGCCTGGCAAACATAACGTTGTTGCGGCGTGATCGATTTTCCAAGTCGTCATGGGCCAAGGCCAGGGACGCAAGGCGGGAGTCTTGGTGGAGGACCCTGGACTCCAGGGCCGCTAACCTGCGGGTTACTCCTTCATGGTCTGCGTGGAGGGAGGAAACACTGTCTTCAAGCTGGGATACCGTGGATGATACACCAGCTATGTCCCTTTTTTAAGGGCGGCTTCCATCCTGGATACCATCTCCGCCATGTCCTGCTTAGTGGGGAGGGAGAGCAGGATGGATGAGATCTCCGCCGCCGAGCGGGTGGGTGCAGCAGCCATTGTGCGGGCAGCGTCCCGTGGCGGGTGCGCGAGGCAGACCGATGCTGGGCCGGTTGCTAGGCTGGTCGGTTCCCGGAGCGGCTCGTCTAGCAGGATGGATGAGATCTCCGCCGCCGAGAGGGTGGGTGCAGCAGCCATTGTGCGGGCAGCGTCCCGTGGCGGGTGCGCGAGGCAGATCGATGCTGGGCCGGTTGCTAGGCTGGTCGGTTCCCGGAGCGGCTCGTCTAGCAGGAGCGGGCGATCTCCAGATGCTGTGAGAGGGGTGGAGTCAGACTAGTCCCGTGGAGAAGTGGATGGTGTGGGCCTCGGCGTCTCAGACGGGGCCATGTGTTGCGCGGTGGAGGATCGCGTTGACGAGGCCGGGGAGGCAAAGAAGTGATGGAGGTCCCTGGTAATCCGTCCGCAGTCGGTTCCCGAAGATTTGCCCTTCTTGGACATCGATTTGGGTAAGTAGTTTAATGCTGATCGAATGATAGATGCTGGGCTGGCAGAAGAGCTCAGTCAAGCTGCGACCTTACTCTGCCATTGCAAGGCCACGCCCCTCAGTCAATGGCTTTCTGTCGATGGGGATCATTGCTGCAGTTTCAGTTGAACAGCAATTAATGGATTCCCATTCCAACTTGTTGGTTTCCAAAAAGAGCAGCATGCATGATTTTGGATTTGGTAGGAAATGGTCACTATTAGTTCGTAGTAACCCATTTTTGTTTGGTAAAATGGAAAACATGATTACTTTAAGACTGAGAAGCCATCTAGTTAGTCCACTCGATCTTGATATATAAGCCAAATGGCTTATTTCCACAGCATAAAGTACCCCAGGTGCTTGGCTCCTGATATCGTTTCTTGTTGATGCTGCTTTCATAGCTATTAAGTGCATTAGGGTGAGCTGAACACTACTTTTAGCACCCAATCTGCCTTAATGTTGCATCTGGATCGGTCTGAATTACTATGGATCCATTTTTCCACAACCCCCTTCCCTTAATCCTTGCTTTGATGGCAATGCTGGTGAAGCTTGGGTTCAGATCAGATGAGGGCAGTCTGAGGTAAGTTGTTCCACCATGCATTAAGCTTTAAAAGAACTTATGTTGGCACTTTTCTACCTGGTGGTAATTGGTTTCATTCTTTCGGTCAGCGTGCTTGTTTTTTGTTTTTTTTTTACTTTCAGTTCGGTTGCAGTAATTTAGGTTGAAAATGCTTTCACACCGTCTAATGTTTATGAAGGGTTAGTAGATTGGTAGTATTTTTAGCCTTGCCAGAATTAATTTTTTAGACGTCATTCACACGAGAAAAAGTCGGCATGTACAGCTCCGTGCTGCGTAAATGGCCGCATCGGGCAGCACCCGGGAAGGACAGGTTCTGCGTGTGATTTTTGTAAGCAGCTCCTGTCCTCTATGGGAGTATGCGGCTATGCTCTGCCCCACGCTCACCCGCCCTGCACGTCTGTGCTGGTGTCCGTACTCGTACGCTGACTGGATGGATCCTGTCTGCGTCAGAGCCGGGGCACCCGTATGGACCTGCACTTTGGGTGAGCGTATGGCGGTGTACAGCCGCGTACTCCCATAGAGAAGGACATGGGCTGCTTACAAATCACACGCAGCACGTGGCCTTCCCGGGAGCTGCCCGATGCGGACATGCACGGAGCTGTACGTGTCGGCTTTTTCTCGTGTGAATGATTAATGTTTGAGATATTCACTGTTTTTTTTTACTGGTAACTCAGATACCAATACATCTAAACTGTTATATTCCTATTGTCTCCGATTTTTGTTTCTTTTGTCCGTCTGTAAATTCTTCTGGTTTCTGCATTTTGTCACTAAACTGGCAATGCGGGAAGTTCCCTTTTTTAATGGAGATTCTGATACCATTTAAACATTAAATCTAAAAGTTTTTAAAACCCTGTTCTACTTTTGAGGATGTCAAATTTCCTAGCTCTTTAGCTCATGATTTTTATCTTTTTGATTATTTAACTTAGAAGTGTATAGGTAAGCAATTCTGACATTCATTTTTCATTCATGTTCAGGTTTTGTTGTGCAAAACTTTAAAAGCCAAACTTTGCCAGGCAACCAGCATTTTTTGAAAAGGTGCAGCAATGGTATCTCCCACACTTTTCTCCATGACAATCACTTCAAATGTTTTGGTTGGTGTTTATAAATTTACAGCTTGTGAAGAATTTAATTTTTTTTTCTAATGTTTATAATCCTGTAAATTAAATTTCAGTTTACACGTGCTTTTTTTCAATAGAGCCAAGCAAGAAGAGAAACGTAAAAAGGAGGAAGAAAAGCGACTGAAGGAAGAAGAAAAGGTAGAAAATGAAACATTTTTTTTATAATCTTGCCATGTTCTCCGTGTGTGTGGGGGTCTGTTTTTTTCTGTGTGGGATGAATGGAATAGCCAGGCGGTTCACTAAAAATTAAAAAAAAAAAAAAACAATTGTAGAGAGATGGTAACCTTGCACTCAGAAGAGGGTATTGCTATATCTCAACATCATATTTTACTTTTTTTGTAAAGTTAATGAAAACTGGAATTGCTTTTTCAATGACTTAAGTATTAAAAATGACCTTGGCTAATTGCTACTGTATCTGCACAAAAGCTATTTCCTGTCGGCTCCATGGCAGCACACAAATGGGTTAATCCCTCCCTCCTCCCCCTAATCAGGATCGTAACTCATAAAAGCTGAGAGTCCCCTGGCTTGCTGTTCCTTTTTTTTCCCCTCCTACATGTCAGGATCAGATCAGTGTGCCTACCTAGCAGGGATAAAGTTCTGGCTGTCCGCCTTCTTCTTCTACCCCCTTGAGTTGGCGAAGTCCCTGTGAGCCCTTTCCTAAATGGTGCAGGTCCATGGGACCCCAGCTGGCGATCCTCGGGGCCTGGCTAACAAAGTGTAAGTACACTGCTGTTGCTCATTATGGGTGGAGGAGATATTCCTACTTGGTCTGGGCGCCTAAAGGTGCCCATACACCTTATAGAGATCTGGAGAATTTTTGTCTTTCAGCAGAAAACGTTTGTCTATTTGGATGAAAATTTACAGGTTAATGGCATGGTTGTACAATAAAAATCTCTTGATGCAAACTGCACATGCTCAAACGAAAGTTTGTCCTTTTGATCAATGTAAATCAGCAAGGTGGTGATGCTGACAAGCGTTATATGTGAACTGCATTGGTCTGTGCATGATGGGTTAGTTGTAAGAAAATTGTATTAAGGTGAGATGTCTGCACAACAAAAGTTGTACAATGGTTGTAAGTTCTATGGCCACCTTTACATATGTGATTCTGTGGTGCTGCTAATGCCTATGCTGACTCTTGCAGGTATTTACCTGAAACACCCATTAGCTTGCTTTCAGGTGCTTTAACCCTGCAGGTGCTTGCTGAGGGCAGGCTGCTGCCACTTGTAGCTCTGCTACTAAACCTTATAACTGGATCTTACAGAAAGGTGTTTGCTAACTCTGTCAGCTTCATCTTGTGCCCTAACTCTTGGGCCTTTCTAGTGAGTATTTTGCTGTAACCTGTCGTTCCCCCAGCGTTGGTTATGTTTAAAATGTAACTTATGGAGTTGCTTCATTGCAGGCCTATTCTGCCTGTTCGGTATTCTTTCTCGTGTATTTCTATGTATTGTGTTAGTGACAAGAGCCTGTGGTGCCATAATCTGTGTGGAGCAGGTGTTTGTGGCTCCTTGCTGTGCTGTCTGTGGCTTCCAGCGGTGGTGTTGAAATGCACGCTGTGCGTTCCACTGATGTCATTTCCGCCGCCGGGCAGCTTCCGGCCTCTTCATTGTAAGACTTGCGGCGGCAGGTGGAGCGTGCGCTATGCGTTCCACCCAGGGGAGAGTGGAACGCAGGCTATGCATTCCAGTGCAGCTCCACCGCCGGCTGGGCAGTCTGCGTCCCTTCTGGTGGAAGGGTTATTAGGGGGGCTGTTTAAGTCACCCAGCCCTTCAGAGATGGCTTTCTGTTTTGCGCTTGGTGGTACACAGTCAGCCGAGCCGCGGCATTCTTGGGATAAGTGCTTATATTGATCGTTAGCTGATTATTGTAGTTGCTGTTGGTTGTGCTAGCATTTTTCATGCATGCACAGCATGCCTCTAGACATATCCCCACCTGTCAAAGATCGCCTGTCGCAAGGAAGAGGCCACTACAGACAAGGAGGCAGGTGTATGCAGGTTATTTACTGCAGAAAGTCTTTCAGGATAGCCTCAAGAAATTGTTCTTATGCATAGGGTCACTCCTAAAACCAGCCTATTGTAGATCCAGAGCTCAGTGGGCTAGCCAGGTATTTCTAGAGCTGGCGCCCCCATCCGCAGTCGGGAGTCCTCCGGACCCCATTCTGGTTCTCCCTCTTCAGATGAATGTATCTAAGATGAATGGAGTCAGGTGGATGGGAAGTATTCCTTTGGAAATAGATTCTCTAAGCTGTATCCTTTTAAGAAAGAGGATCTTAAACACTCAGATGAATCGCCTGAGGTTAATGCGGTCTTAATGAGGCTGGCAAGGCATATCGCGCTGCCCCTTGGTGACGCTGTTACCCTCTTGGACAGATTTGGTTCTTAAAAATATCTATCTCTTGGCCGGCGGGGCCTGCAAACCTGCAGTTGCTATGGGGGGACAGCGCTGAAGCAACAGTTTCGGTGGATCTTTGTAAATCTGAGATCTTAGACCGCTTAAAGAATATCAGATTGTCTTATACATTCTTCACTGAGGTTCGGTCAATGTTAAATTTAAGCCAGAGTTATGTTGGTCGCAGTGGCGGGCAGAAGGGCTCTGTGGCTCAGACCGTGGGTGGCGGATCCCACATCCAAGCAGGGATAATGTAATTCCATTTGAGGGTCAGTTGCTACTATGCAACAAACTAGACACCGCAACAGCTAAGGCCACTGGAGGTAAGTCATACTGTGCATTGCATACGGTGCAATCTCTCTTCCCCAGAAGAGGTTCCGGGCGCAAATCAGTGCCTCTCGGGTGATCTACTGTTGGTGTCTCATTGTCTTCAGATTGTCGGGTTCATGGTGTCAACGATTCCTGCAGTCCAGTGGGCCCAAAGGCTTGTTTCTTTCAGACCGGGTTCTTGGTTCTTGCGGCAGTGGAAGCCGGAAAGTCTCCGCCAACTCATTCGGATGTCTCCCCGATGCGGAGCAGCCTGGGGTGGTGGTTCATGGACTGCAACCTACTAGGCTGTCAGTCTCTCTCCTCCTCACCATGTGGACGGTGAATTCCTCAGATGCCAGCGAATGGGGTTGGGGTGCCGTCTGAGCGAGGGTGCTCAGTGTCACTGGTCCTTTCCTGCAGTAGGGGTTGTCTCCAATGTCCTGGAGCTGAGTGCAGTGTTTCAGGCGCTATTGGCCTTCCAGCGATTTTATCCTGGGGAAGTCAGTTCTGATGAAAATCGACAATACCTCAGCGGTGGCTTGTATCAGGAGACAAGGGGGTGCACGCAGTCGTGCCCTGCTGGAAGAAGTCTCTCCTGTTATGACCTGGGCTCAGATCCATCTTAACTTATCGGCAGTGTACGTGTCCCCTCAATCACAAAGCAGATTTCTATCCAGAATTCCTCTGGACAACGACGAGTGGTGTCTCCTCGATCAAGTATTTCAGGACACGGGGTCCTGGGCTTGACTCCCGAAGTAGATCTATTTTTGTCCCGAACCAACACCGAAGTCGTGAAGTTCTTCAAGTTTTTATGTGCACAAGCGGTGGCGACGGACGCCCTCCCTGACAGCAGAATGGACTTTCGGACGGCTTGCGCCTTCCCGCCAGTGCCTTTTTCATACTACAATTTCTGAGGAGACTCGAGAGAATAGGTGGCTATCCTGGCAGTGATTCCGAACCGGCCCAAGGGTCCTTGGTATCCTCTCCTCCGCCTGATGGGTATCCAGCCTCCACTATTCCTACCGCCATTGCCCGACCTTCTTTCAAGGTCCGATCCTTCACCCAGCACCTGTGAAACTTTGCCTAGCAGCATGGATATTGAGAGGCGGAGACTTCTCACATTGGGTTGCTGAGGTTCATTCCCAAGGTTGTGACTGACTTTCACATACACCAAGAAATTGTATTACCAACCTTCAAGTCAGATGTTGGGAGCCAGATTAGCTGCTTGGACGTAGGTAATACGCTACAAGCGTATATTTTGTCCACAGAAGGGCTCAGGTCTACGGATCATCTCTATCGTTCCGGCAGGTGCAAGGAAGGATGCTGTAGATCCAGCTGCCTTAACTAAAGTTGAATTCGGCTGTAGGGTTATTTCTTCTACCATGAGTTGTGATTAAAAAATTTTCAAGCAAATGGTATTTCATACTTTAATTTTCCTTTCCTGTTCAGCTCGATGGCAGCACAAGACCCACCCGTATAGTAGTCGAGTTACGGAACCCAAGCCAGGGGACTCTTTCCGCTTTTGAGTTACTATCCTGATTAGGGGGAGGAGGGAGGGATTAACCCATTCGTGTGCTGCCATGGAGCTAGACAGGAAAGGAAAATTGCGTTGAGTATGAGATACAATTTTCCCCAGTCATCTTCCAGGACAGCCATCGAGATATAGGCTCCGCCTGCCTGCAACAGGAAACACATCAACCACATTAAATAAATAGACTCCTCCTTCCATCCCAAGTCAGTTTTTTTGTGTTTCCGCCGGCTACACAGGGACATCGTAATGTTTGTTATTTTTAGGGCTCATGTTTGTTTGCCTTTGGGCTGAGCCTTACAATGCTAGGCATTGGGACCTACTCCAGGCTTACCTGCTGCAGTGCCTACAGGGATTCCCTATCGGACCCCCACCCGATTTCTGGCCAAGGTTCCCTTCCATCACTCAGGGAAGGCAACCATCCTCCTGCACGTGAGTAGGCGCCAGATGGTGGCCCCCCCCTGGTGTAAAGCAGTGGCAAGGTGTAATAACCTGGAGTGTGCGTGAGCCCCTGTTGTGGACATGAGATGGCGACGACAGGGGCAGCATTGGAGGGGTATGGGGACTGGAGGCAGCTGGGGGCTGTAGTCCAGGGATCCCGGATACCTCGCAGAGTGGGGGCACTTACCTGATGGTATGGGGAGCGGTGCAGTCTTCGGCAGCATGGGGGTGTTGGCCTCGCGCTAGGGGGCTGCAGCGTCTCTGGGCCCCTTGCTGGTGTCGGTGGTGGAAGGCTGGAATGTGGCGGGTGACGTCACTTTTTAGGCGCCGGCGCCATCCGTAGTGCGTGCCGCGTCGTCGCATGCGGTGACGCACTTCCGGGTACGTAAGCAGCCTCGCGCCGGAGACACATAAGGAGCTGTGAGCTCAGATAACAGCAGATGCCGCTCGGCCACGACTAACCGGGCAGTAGTGT